ATCTGATATCCCTGATCTGATAATTTGGATATTTTGGTATTGGTTTCAGAAATTCCAGGATCTGCTGACTTATTGCTTTTTAAGTCCCTTAACTCGGCCTTAAGTTCTCCTATAGACAACTTTAGAAGTTCTATTTCTGAAGATAGTACTGAAACAGAGCTTGAAGGCTGGAGTTTTTCGATAAGCACATAAGGTGTAGGGAGGGTTTCTGTTTGAGAAGAGGGTACTGAATTTTTGGGAGTAGTGCTAATACTAGCTGTCAGTATAGTTTTATCCTCAGTTCCCGCTCGACGCTTAAGACATACAAGTGAGTTTTGTGGCTCACTATAACCATTTGTAGGAAGTGTGTTGCTTGATGTAGCAATCAACGACTTAAAATTAGTCATCAGATTTACAGGGGATTGAGTTCGTTGCTTTTTACTTTGGTTAACCATAACTATTTGATATGAGAGTTAATAGTTATAGGTATGGAGGTAGTAGAGTACTTGTGCAAGGATTACAACAAGATAAATTTTATGTAACGAATCACGCAAAAATGTAACGCAAACGTTGAAAGTACCGCTACAATATAATACCTGGGGATAGGCCACAATGCAAGTTCAACACTCAAAAACTGAAGGACACAACCATAAAGGACACTTTCACCTCAACTGCCAGAGCAAAGCACGAAACACTACCTGGCACCACTGAGGAATCATCCGTGGAAGACCAATGGAACTCTCTGAAGGTGATTTTCAACGAAACGTGTTCAACGGTTCTAGGAAGAAAGAAGAAACAAGACAAGGAATGGCTCTCAACGGACACCTGGAAGCTAATAGAGGAGAGGAGAATGGTGAAAGAGAAAATGATTCAATGCAAAGATGGACAAGAGAAAGAGACGCTGAGCTCAACTTACACAGCACTGGACAAAGAAGTGAAGAAGAGTGCCAGGAAGGACAAAAGACAATTCTACGACAATCTGGCCACTGAAGCTGAGAATGCAGCAGGCAAAAGGGACCTGAGGACACTATATCAGATAACCAAGTCTCTATGAAGATCAACACAAGTGAAACCTATAAAAGACAGCCAAGGGAACCCAATTACCAAGGAAGAAAGACAGATTAAACAATGGGCGGAACACTTCAAAGGACTCTTGAACCGACCACCACCTGCAACCCGTCCAGAAATACCAACAACAGCGCGCACACACAACTGCAAGGTGACACCAATCCTCCAACGAATGTTGAAGTCTTGAATGCAACCAAGCTTCTGAAAGCTGGAAAAGCAGCTGGACCAGATGGAATACCCCCGGAAGCGCTGAAAGCAGACCCAGAGACGACAGCAGATATGCTGACTCCATTATTGCAAAAGATCTGGAAAGAGGGAAAGGTGCCTACTGACTGGAGGAAAGGTTACCTCGTGAAACTGCCAAAGAAGGGCGACCTGGGACTCTGCAAGAACTGGCGAGGAATCATGCTCCTGTCGACGCCAAGTAAAATCCTGAGTCGCATCATCCTGGAGAGGATAAAGGACGCACTGGATACAGAACTCCGACCAGAACAGACCGGAGTCAGTAAAGGCAAATCATGTTCTGATCAAATTGCAACTCTGTGCATCATCATCGAACAAAGCATGGAATGGCAATCAAACCTCTACCTCAACTTCATAGACTTTGAGAAGGCCTTCGACAGCGTTGACCGCGAAGTAATTTGGATACTACTCAAGTACTACGGCGTACCCCAAATATTCATCAACCTTATTCAACAGCTGTACGACAACAGCACAGGTCAAGTGATCCACAACGGAAAACTCAGCGAGGCGTTTGGAGTAAACACAGGAGTCAGACAAGGGTGCTTGTTATCACGAATGATATTCCTAATTGTGGTGGACTGGATTATGCGTGAGACAGTGGGAAACGAGAAGACAGGGATATCCTGGACCGACGTGAAGAATCTAGAAGACCTGGATTTCGCGTGTGGATGATTTATGTTTGATGTCACACAAAATGGAAGACTTACAAGCAAAACCCGACAAACTGGTCGAAGAAGCAGCCAGAGAAGACAGGGCTCCAGGTGAACATAGACAAGACGGAGATTATGAAAATAACCAACCAACAAACCAGCCAACAACAACAACAGCAGCAGCAACATCCAGCGCCAATCACCATCAATGGAAGGGATTTGAAAGAGGTTACTTCATTCACTCATCTAGGAAGCATTGTCTCAACTACAGGAGGAACGGACGAGGATGTCAAATCGAGAATCGTGAAGGCGTGAAACACATTCATCAACCTGAAACCAATCTGGAAATCTTCCGCTGTCACTCAGCATCAACAACAAAATGATTCGGATTTTCAATACAAACGTCAAGTCAGTCACTTCTTCTATACGGATCAGAAACTTGGCGGGTGACAATGAATATTTCCAACAGGTTGTAGACCTTTATCAACAACTGTCTTCGTTCTATACTGAAGATCAGATGGCCGGAAAGAATCACAAACAAGAAGCTATTGGAACAAACAAAACAAGAACCAATCGCTCAACAAATATGTAGGAGAAAGTGGAGATGGATTGGACACTCTCTGAGGAGGCCGCTTGGTGATATCGCGCGTCAGGCCATAGCTCGAGTGGAACCCGAAGGGGAAGCGGCGAGTGGGACGTCAGTACAAGGGTGACATGGAGGAGATTGTGTGAAGAGGAGCTGAAACAGTATGGACTAATATGGATGCAGGTGAAAAGTCCAGCAGAAGACAGAATCAAGTGGAGACGTGCAGCTGAATCCCTATGTTCCACTAGGAACCCAAGGGAACAATAATAATAATATCCATGCCCGTACAACTGGTGTGTCCTACATAGATTGGAAATATATCTATACTCACAAAACTTAACATTCAATCAGTCCGCGAAATCAGTTGTTTCTAAATGCCGAAAACTCACAGGCTTGTTACGCCGAAAACTGTGCATAATCTAGGCTAAAGTTTTTTTGATTTACAGCTTGATTTCCACACCGTATTTTCAGTACAAGTGTGGAATTTTCAGCATGGATATCGGTTGCCCAAATTCAGGCATACCATAGATATCGGGTGTGCGCCGGCAGGGGATCGAACCCCGGACCATGTGCATGGTCGGCGAGAGTCCTAACCACTGTGCCACCGACGCACAGTTCTCCCGTACAAAGTCATAGTTCCTTTAGCACTGGGGTGCTGCACATTTATATTAGGTTTTTTGCGTGGGTATGACAGGTTTCATATTGAAAATATCCAGCGAAGCTATACACGGCTTCTATTACACACAAATGAAGGCTTAAATTACGGGGATAGGTGTGGGAAATCTGGAAGAAAGCAAAATGTAACGAATTACAAAACTTGCAACACTGCTACCAGATGCATGGGAGACTGTTTGACGACCATATCACTAATGAAGACAGAACACACCACTTACAGCTGCTGAAGGGTTGTATTTACTGACGATGACTTGGAGAGAATGTACAATTAGACAATCAGACTGCAATGAAGCTGCTTAGCTCCTGTCTTTTGAAAATCATACTGGCCACCATGGGTTTCACTCCATGCGGATAAACAAAGTGGTTGTTGACGATTAAACATCCAAGGTTCAGTTGAGTTAACGACTCCTTTAATCCCCCACAGTAGAACCTATGTTTCTTGATTCAGGAAAAAGACTGATGCATATAAGTTAGAAATACATGCAAACAATCTGTTTTCTTTACAAAAAATAGAATTTTCTGTGTCAAGAACACAATGTTATGCTGTATTACATCTCAGTTAAATGTTTCATTTGCTAACTCGCAGCCCCACACCTTAATAAGTAAACCAAAACCACGACAAACGAAGAGGCAAGGTAGGAACAATGTTACCAGATCCTTGCACTGGTTAATTAGTTGGTCCTACCGATAATTAAATCGAGCTCCAATGAGTGCGAATTTCTTGCCCTTATGACTACAACTTGAATATGAATCGCGTTAAAGACATTATCTAGCGATTTCACTTCGTTAATTGTCTTAGTATAGCACAGAACTCCTGTCATTGCTGGTGAACACTGAATAGTTTGTTTATTCGAACTGTACTCCCTTAGTGGGTGGCAAGAAGGCTGTCACTGCTGAATCATGTACTGGCTGGGGGAAGATTGGTGAAATAAAATCAGAAGTATTCTTATATAATAATATATATTTCCTATCAATGTAGGACACACCAGTTGTACAGGCATGGATAAGTATTATTTAAATTACATGAATTTGATTTATAGTGAAATTACATGGTTGCTGTCCTCTCTGACATCAGTTAGTGAGTACATTATTATTTTTATTTTTATTTTTTTTTTTGATTACAGCTTAATGCCACACCGTATTTTTAGGTACAGGTATGGAATTTTCAGCATGGATATCGGTAGCCCAAATTTTGAAGGCCGACCATAGATATCGGGTGTGCGCCGGCAGGGGATCGAACCCCGGACCATGTGCATGGTCGGCGAGAGTCCTAACCACTGTGCCACTGATAGTTAGTCGTTCAATGGAGCACATAAAGAAATATAGAGATGCTGTCTTCGCATTAACAAAAAAAGCAAAGTATGTGTCGGATAAATTACACATATTTGGGAAAAAATAAAGCTTGAAGTCAATTCCTCCACATAACTTTGTTGTGTGCGGCATCGTATCTTGTTTTATGTTCAAATTGTGTATTAATTTAAAATGAGTGATTATGTTTTATGATTTTGACATCATTTTTTTGCAAGTAATGCCAGATGTGAATTCAACTGAATGCAGATTAATATTGGTCATTGTCAGGCAGATTTGTTTTGCTGCACCCAAGTCACCCATAGCCTGCTATTTGTCATAGCATGGTTGTTCCGTACGAGTAAGTTGATAAACACGTAGAAAGCTATATAAAAGCCATTTTAGATCGTTGACAGTGCTTGTATAAGATGCCGTACAGAGTGTTGTTATGGTGACAGTGGATTTCATCAGGGATGCTGAGCCATTGCTAGCCAAACCTTGAGGGATTATATATGAGTAAGTGACTTCAATTGTTTCTCAGCTTCAGTCGGAATGTAGATCAATGCAACTTGTACTACAAAGCAAATACAACAGAAATGTACCGGTGGGCAGAGAAAAGGTATGTGGAGTGGGACATGTATGTTTATATTCGTTGTACACTGTAATTTGGTGAACAAATATTTATTCCTACTAAGTCTTTATGCATCTATGCTACTAGTTTATTTATAGTTTTTAGAGTAGTAAAGGTATTTAAGCGCGTTGTTTGGGTACTGTAGTAGACTAATAGTTGATTCGTTCTAGGAATAAATAGTTTATTTATATAGTCGGTAGAGGAAATAGTGTGTACAGAGAGCGTTTGAAACTTAAAACTGTATTGCAGTTCCTGACTTCTAGGGGCAGATTGTTCCATATTTTAGAATACATGACTGTGAAGAAGTTTTCGCGGAGTGTTGACTTAAAGGCTTTTATTGTCACTGTGCAAGTTTGGTTACGCAGGTCGTAAGAGCCTTCTTGTGCGAATTGTATGTCCTTACTGTCTGAGAATGATATTTTGTGTAGGACCTTATAGAAGAATACTAGGTTTATGATTAGTCGTCTTATCCAGAGAGGGTCAAGTCGTAGAATCATGCACCGTGAGATGTAGTCTTTCTTACATTCGTAGCCAAGTAGTTTTGAGGTAAAATATCGTTGGATACTTTCCATCTTTAACTTGTCACGTGTGTGAGTGCTGCTAATAATAAATGGACAGTATTCTAGTAGTGGCCTCACACAGGTTTTGTACAGAATTAGCTTTGCTTCATTGTCGTGAAAGTTCCTGAGTATGCATCCTAAGAGCATCCTTGACTTGAGTCTGTGATGCCACTTGCTCAGAGAATGTTGGGTTACTCGAGTACCTCAGACCTAGGTCAACGACACTTTGGAGTTTGGTTAGGTTAGCCAATTGAAGCGTTAATTTCATGTCGATTGAGGGTGCACCGAAGCATATCCAGCCACATTTTTTAAGGTTAAATTGGAGGTTCCATAAAGACGACCAAGCAGTCACTTTATCTAGTTCTTTTTGTACAACATTCTGGAAGTACCCTAGGTCATCAGATTGGAATGTATAAGCTACTTTTAGGTCATCTGCAAAGATGAATGGTTTCCCATGAGAGAAGCAAGCGCATATGTCGTTAATGTATAGAGTAAATAGGGGTCCAATGATACTACCTTGTAATACACCAGAAGTGATTGGGCTAGGTTTCGAAGTTATAGATCCGAGTTTAACTATTTGGGACCTATTGTTAAGGAATGATTTTAGCCATCCTAATAGTGGGTCACGTATTCCTAAGGATTTCAGCTTGTGCATTAGTAGTAAATGGTCGACACGGTCAAATGCCTTTGAGATGTCCAAGTAGATGACAAGTACTAGTTGTCGTCTGTCACGACTGCTGGTCACAAAGTTAAAGAAGTCTAAGTGGCATGTTAAACAAGATCCGGATTTTAGGAATCCATGTTGGCTTGGACTTATAATGTTGCAGCTAAGCATATGCCTGATTAAGTTATCTTTAACTAGTCTCTCCATAATTCTAGATGCTATAGGTGTGATATTGATCGGCCTGTAGTTATTGATTTCTGTTTTCGAGCCAGATTTGTGTTAAGGCATAATAAACGTTGTTTTCCACACATCAGGGTAAGTTTGGGTTTCTAAGGACATTGTGAATATTTTAAGTAGTAGCAAGGGAATGTGAGGGCCGCCATATTTATAAAAATAGGATGATATGCTGTCAGTACCACATTTTTTTTTAGCTTCTGAGGGTTCTTATATTTTGTTTTATGGTAGTATGGTTAAATTCAACAGTACTAATTAAGTTTGGTGTGTGTAGAGATTGAGTTTGTGCCATATTAGTAGCTGGGTGTATATTGAGTGATCGGACTGTGGGCTTAAGGTAGTTACCTGCAAAAGTTGAGTTAAATAATTCACACATATCTGCAGAATTAGTGCATAGCCTGCCTTTGTCAATGAGGAGGGAAATGCTGTGATTTTTGCGATTCATTTGTTCGATGCTTATCTCTTCGTCTGGTAAATGGGAATGACACCGGGATACGGTAATGATTATGGGGGGTTTGTATACCAGCGTGTGTGCCCTGAGCATCGGTAGTTTGTTAAGGATAGATCTAGCATTAATAAGTATTAGGTAGAGTTGAGATTTGAAGTAGTGTTTAAGCTCGTCAATTAGGTTCAAGTGTGGATCGGCATCCACTGTTTCCGCGTGGCATAACAACCCTGTGTTGCAACTAGTTTGTTCACCTATGTCTGTCGAGTTACTATCCATTTTTTAGTGAGTAATGGGTTTGATTATTAGATAAACTATACGATGACGTAGTTCTAGGCTTGGGTAGGCTGGAGACTTGGGTTGAAGTTTTTATTTGGCCTATGCTTGTATAGTCATTGGGTGTGATATAAATCATGCGCAGATGCATCACTCATTCACACCTCTGTTTACTGTCTATATTATGCATTTCTTCTACTTCCTTCTCTTGCTCTGCTATGGCGACTTGAACTGCCGCACATATGTGCAAAGTTCTATGTCGAAAACCGACCGACCTGTGATTAATAGTTCCGTGTGTACTAGCCCATGTCTGTTTTCTTACCGGTAGGGGGCCGACATTAGTGGTATGGGTTCAGAAGAGTTAATATCCCCACCAGCTGTTTCGTTAGCGCTGACAGGGATGTGTTGGATAAAAAATCTTTGATACCTTGTGATACCCATGTTAATCTGCCTATTGTGTGTGGACATTCCAAGAGACCTTACATGGGTGTCGTTATATGCATAGCTGCACTGTGGTTTGTTTCCCAGAAGGCTTGTTCCGTATAATCTGCCAAAGTTAGTTTGTGTGTCATGCTTTGTAGACCCTGAGTACCTGGTGGCTGAGCTTCGAGTGTTGTCACTTATACTACTTTGCGTGATAGCGTCACTACACCAGCTACCAGTGTGACTTGGCACAGTATGCGAGTAGGTTGTGTCGTTGTTGTCCTTGGACTCTATGTCCTTATTTTTGTTTTTAGTTTGGTTGCTAGCATGGTTTTGAATATTATTTACCTTAAAGCGTGAGTTATGCTTGGGAGTCTGAATATGTTGAGGGTCTTTTTTAGAACTGAGTGTTCGGAGAAAGAGTCACCCAGGTGTACCCTGATTTTAGGGTGGGAGTTACTGAAGTGTAGGATACCACATTTGTCAGAATTGAATGTAATGGCCAATTATTGCTGCAGTTATGTAATCTACCTAAATCATCTTGAATATGTGTGAATCCCCCGTTCAGAGTAGAATAGGGGAAGCTGTATGCAACATTTAAGTCGTCAGCAAAGATGTATGCGGTACCATGCGTGATTACACTGCAGATGTCGGTAATGTTAATTACGAGAAGCAGTGGCTCTAATACACTTCCCTGAATCACTCCACTTCGTATGAGTTTGGGTGACGAGTAACGATTTGCGAATTTCACAACTTGGGGACAGTCATCCAAGAAAGGACTGAGTCAGTATAACAAGGGGTCCTGGAACCCGTGCAACTTTAGCTAATGAATTAGTCTCGTGTGTGGAACTTTATATAAGGCTTTCCTAAAGTCGGAGGAGAGAGTTGTGACAAGCAAACCATGGTCACACTTAGCAGTAACACCACCAAAAAAGTCAAGTAGACAGGTGAAGCATGACCGACTTTTCAAGAAGCTGTGTTGTGCTGGAGGGAACACTGTGAAGGTGGAGGTATGAAGCAATATCTTGCCCTGTGACATTTTCCAAAACGCTGGAAATACTGACGTGATATTGACGGGTCGGTAGTTTTCGATATTAGAAGTATGTCGCGGCTTGGGCCTAAATGACATAAACAGTAGTTTTTGCGGAGCTCTGAGTAACTGCAATTACTTAGGCGCATATCAAAAGACCTTAGAAGGATAACGGGTTTGTTCTCACCACTCCTTTAAAACAGGATGGATGGAATTCCGACAAGACCGTTATTATGTGTTGTCCGGAGAGCTTTTGGTGGCTGACGGTGTCGACGTTCGTGGATTGCACGGGGTATACTAACGCAAGATCTACTACCAACAACTTCTATAGTATTCGTTCCGCGTAGACCGAAGCCAAAGCAAAAGACACTATTTGATCATCCAAACTACGAGATATATTTCGGGACAAAATCGTAGATCAAGATGAATGCTTAGCTGGCTAGTGATCGTGCACGAACGTGACACGACGGAGTATCAAATGGCATGGATGCTTGACCGGAAGCCTTCAGCTAAACAAGTCGAGTTGAACAGTGGGCGTGAGCATCGAATGTTCAGTGATGAGTGCTGTGGTCAATAATTTTGGAGAATCATTTACCGCTACAATGTTCTATCATATCAGCCTTTGAAATCAGCTCATTTCATTTTGTCCTTGTGGCTGTACGAGATATTGCATAGGTGAGTATTACAGTTTTTAATTTTGTAATGAAAATTAAGAAAATCGGGTATTTCACAATTTCGCTCCATCAACTTGTCATCTGGAACGCGATATTAACATTGGTAAACTGTGACCCATATGCCTTCATATTAAACAGTAATTTCGGAAAGTTGGTGAGTAGTAGCCACTTCCTGAAGGAGAAGTTTCCAAATTTATGCAATGGTGAGTATGTCCTTATCAAGTTATTTAGCATTTAAACTATTAAGAATATAACCATTTTTGTTATCTCATTCATTTTCCTCTCCACTGATGTCATTGGAATACGAGAGTTCCTATCACAATAACCAATCTATAACTTGCCAAATATGAGTTATTTTATTTATTCAACAATCACATCGTGGTTTAACTGTTATCAGTGATCTGTTTGTAGTCCCGAATTATGGGCAGAATAGTAACATTCCCGAGAATTGTATTGGACCTGTACACCAGTCAGTGTTCTCTGAAGATAGTGCATAGTCCGAATGGCCATTGTGTCTTTTTGCTGAATTAGTCGAAATAGAGTGTCTTGTTTATTTTTATTTATATATATTTTATATAGAATCCATGCTAACTTCCCGCGTTTTCTTCGTTACAGACTTCTAAAGACAGCTGACGCCTTGGCAATTCATAACTTTGAGCCAGACCTTTGTGTACAAAAGAAGTATGTACAATCCCTACTTCTACCTTGGCCGTAGAGGGATAGACATTTATTTAATTTATTTATTTAGTTATTCTATGAACTTTCCCTTATTACTACGATTATTAATATTATTATCATTATTACTATTACCATTCCAATTCTGAATCTTATCCACATGACCCACTTGATATTTTAAACCCAAAATTATTGAAAAAATCAATCTGAGCGAAGAATAAAAGAGGAAGGAGCACTCTTGGTGAGAAGAAGAATCATCAATCCAAGTTAGGCCACGGTAGGAACAGCGTCTGGACGTGTTCTTTTTGGATACAAAGTTCCGGTTAAGTCGATCTTATTGCAACAGCTTCAGCTATGTGTACAAGACGTAAGCGAACTGTAAGTGATAACGACTTCGGAATTTGGTATATAACCCTGAAAGCTGTGTTGACATCGATATGATGTCCAGTATCGACCAAGTGTGACAGGATCGAGCTTTTTATGCGCTTAATTTCCCCCCTGCTGAACCAAGCTGGTAAATGTTCTCGAACCCGTAGACGAACCTGCCTAACCGTGCGCCCTATATAACTTGAACCACAGGAACAGTTGAAATGGTATATGCATGAAGAAGAGCTAAGCTTAGGTAAGACATCTTTGAGTTGCTGGGTAAACATTGGACGGCTACTGAAGGATAGACACAGACGTGCAGAGTAGAGACTTTTCTTGATCGCCCTGGTTAAACGTGACTGTTTTCCTTCCAGATGAAGTTCTTTATCCGTTCTCTCCTTATATTTTAAATTTTAATCTATGTTGTTTTACTATTATTGTGTGGCGCATCTTTCTTGGTGTCATATTATACCAAGTTTTTTCTGCGTTTAAATAAAATAAATAATTGCTCACCGCACTGTTACAATTCCTTATTACTTTCTGTTGACTCATATCAATGACTACTTTCAACTCTTGTCATGTGTTTATTGATTCTCTCCTTCTACACTGTTAGGCATACATGACTTCTTCAATTGCTATACTTTTCGAGATAGTGTACATCTCTGTAATCTGCAAAGGGATTATTTTTCTTAGTGATAAAAATCAGTATCTCATAGTTCCACTAAGCTAACTGTAGTGGTTTAGTGTGTATACTAAAAGTAAGCTGGACAAGGTTGATTAACAGTGGGCGAACAAACGTGTGTAGCACAGATTGCAAGTATCCATTGGCGGTTAGTGCTTGAAAAGTATAAATCAAATTTTTTTTGTTTTCGAAGTTTCGTATCACTCATTTTCAAACAACTGCGATTACTGAATTTTTTGTTATAAATTGGGTTGAACTGAGCACACGACTCAAAAAGTGTGACTTCCCAATAAAATCATTTTATTTGTATAGTTTTGCTTTTTCTAAGAGCTTAGCATTGAAGAAGTAACACTGATATTAAAGCTATTTTTATTAGCTGTAAATCTAGGAATTATTTGAAGATTTTTGAGGATTTTCGATTATCATTTTTGATATAATATCTTCTATTCAATCTTTTATTATTTATTTATTTTAGTTTGATTACAGCTTGATGCCACACCGTATTTTCAGTACAAGTATGGCATTTTCAGCATGGAATCGGTAGCCAAAATTTTCCAGGCCAACCATAGATATCGGGTTTGCGTCGGTAGGGGTTCGAACCCCTGACCATGTGCATGGTCGGCGAGAGTCCTAACCACTGTGTCACCGACGCAAAGAAATATTTTGCATCCCAACTGTTTATAATTACACCTTTTGTCACTTTGTTTAGGTTCGGCGCTTGTACGATACCAATACGACTCAGCGGCTGTGGAGAATGCAAATCCTTCTCCTCAACTACCACTTTGTAATCGACGTAAACGCCGACGTATAGAGGAGAATCCAATGCATTCGAGTAACAAAAGATCTTTAGTTCCATCAGTTAACATTTCTCATTTAACATGGAGACCGAAAACTTATCATCGTCGGTGGGATGAGATGTGGAATTACTGTACTAATAACAAATGTCCATATGTTCCTGCATCTGCTATGCAGTTACTACGACATCTGGAACAAGGTCATCAGGAATTTGTTAATACTAATCCGCTTGTTGTGCTTATCGAAACACGTCCAAAAAGCGCTGAAAATAATGATAAATCTTGCAATAGATTATGGTGATTACCTGATGAGTCGTTTTTATGTCCCCCTTGCAGTAAATATGTCCAACTCGTCTTTAAGTATGCCAGAATACTCTTGTTCTGTATGTGGTCGGATTAGCAAGAGTCAGAGGGCATTAAGTAATCACCTTGAACGGTGAGTGTATACATACATCTAATATACTCATTTTTTCGATTGATATGTCAGTTTGTAAAATATATCATCCTTCAACAGACAAAAGCGGTTCTTGTCATTCTTTTAACGTAACGGCTATTGAGACCACACAATAAAAATGGATTTACTAGTAAAATCCAGAAAACAAACATAAAAGAGATTGATTTCAAGCGCTATCTATGCCCAGTTACATCCTCTTAGGACTTAAAGATGCTTGCGTGGGTAAGCGTAATCAATCTCTTTTATGTTTGTTTTCTGGATTTTACTAGTAAATCCATTTTTATTGTGTGGTCTCAATAGCCGTTACGTTAAAAAAATGACAAGAACCGCTTTTGTCCGTTGAAGGATGATATATTTTACAAACTGACATATCAATCGAAAAAATGAGTATATTAGATGTATGTATACACTCACCGTTCAAGGTGATTACTTAATGCCCTCTGACTCTTGCTAATCCGACCACATACAGAACAAGAGTATTCTGGCATACTTAAAGACGAGTTGGACATATTTACTGCAAGGGGGACATAAAAACGACTCATCAGGTAATCACCATAATCTGTTGCAAGATTTATCATGCTGCCATTATTTTCAGCGCGTTTTGGACGTGTTTCGATGAGCACAACAAGCGGATTAGTATTAACAAATTCCTGATGACCTTGTTCCAGATGTCGTAGTAACTGCATAGCAGATGCAGGAACATATGGACATTTGTTATTAGTACAGTAATTCCACATCTCATCCCACCGACGATGATAAGTTTTCGGTCTCCATGTTAAATGAGAAATGTTAACTGATGGAACTAAAGATCTTTTGTTACTCGAATGCATTGGATTCTCCTCTATACGTCGGCGTTTACGTCGATTACAAAGTGGTAGTTGAGGAGAAGGATTTGCATTCTCCACAGCCGCTGAGTCGTATTGGTATCGTACAAGCGCCGAACCTAAACAAAGTGACAAAAGGTGTAATTATAAACAGTTGGGATGCAAAATATTCCTTTAAAAGATCGAATAGAAGATATTATATCAAAAAAGGTAATCGAAAATCCTCAAAAATCTTCAAATAATTCCTAGATTTACAGCTAATAAAAATAGCTTTAATATCAGTGTTACTTCTTCAATGCTAAGCTCTTAGAAAAAGCAAAACTATACAAATAAAATGATTTTATTGGGAAGTCACACTTTTTGAGTCGTGTGCTCAGTTCAACCCAATTTATAACAAAAAATTCAGTAATCGCAGTTGTTTGAAAATGAGTGATACGAAACTTCGAAACCAAAAAAAATTTGATTTATACTTTTCAAGCACTAACCGCCAATGGATACTTGCAATCTGTGCTACACACGTTTGTTCGCCCACTGTTAATCAACCTTGTCCAGCTTACTTTTAGTATACACACTAAACCACTACAGTTAGCTTAGTGGAACTATGAGATACTGATTTTTATCACTAAGAAAAATAATCCCTTTGCAGATTATAGAGATGTACACTATCTCGAAAAGTATAGCAATTGAAGAAGTCATGTGTGCCTAACAGTGTAGAAGGAGAGAATCAATAAACACATGACAAGAGTTGAAAGTAGTCATTGATATGAGTCAACAGAAAGTAATAAGGAATTGTAACAGTGCGGTGAGCAATTATTTATTTTATTTAAACGCAGAAAAAACTTGGTATAATATGACACCAAGAAAGATGCGCCACACAATAATAGTAAAACAACATAGATTAAAATTTAAAATATAAGGAGAGAACGGATAAAGAACTTCATCTGGAAGGAAAACAGTCACGTTTAACCAGGGCGATCAAGAAAAGTCTCTACTCTGCACGTCTGTGTCTATCCTTCAGTAGCCGTCCAATGTTTACCCAGCAACTCAAAGATGTCTTACCTAAGCTTAGCTCTTCTTCATGCATATACCATTTCAACTGTTCCTGTGGTTCAAGTTATATAGGGCGCACGGTTAGGCAGGTTCGTCTACGGGTTCGAGAACATTTACCAGCTTGGTTCAGCAGGGGGGAAATTAAGCGCATAAAAAGCTCGATCCTGTCACACTTGGTCGATACTGGACATCATATCGATGTCAACACAGCTTTCAGGGTTATATACCAAATTCCGAAGTCGTTATCACTTACAGTTCGCTTACGTCTTCTACACATAGCTGAAGCTGTTGCAATAAGATCGACTTAACCGGAACTTTGTATCCAAAAAGAACACGTCCAGACGCTGTTCCTACCGTGGCCTAACTTGGATTGATGATTCTTCTTCTCACCAAGAGTGTTCCTTCCTCTTAACCCTCTTGGCTTTTTTTCCTTTGCTTATTATTACAATTATTATTCGTCATAATTTATGCCCTTCATGCTAGCATTTTCTCAATACTATCGAATTTTTCGTTTATACTATCCGGACTTATTATTAGTGATATTATCTCTTTTCTCAATATATGCCCTCACCTGCTTCATTTCACATGTTCCTTATCTCGTTTTGAACCTCTCATTGCAGTCTTACTATCTCCTGTTTAACACAGACCACTTTGTACTAGCCACTCACCTGACACCTTTTTTATAACCTTGAACTGACTTGTCAATTTTCCTACCCCACACTCTAGAAATCTATTATGATTGATCAACATTATAATTTATTTATATTACTCCCAGCGTGTTAAGAAAATCAAAACAAGATTTTTCTGAACGTTTTGCTGTAAGCCACAGCTTCTTCAGCAGATTTATTCGGATCTTTATTAATCATCAAAATGTATAGTCAAAAATTTTTACATTCATTAAAGTCAGTTTATTTGAAGGTCAGTTGTCTATGGACATTTTTACCAATAGAAAATATGTAAGCAGTCCTCACATATATTTGTAATGACTAATGTCAAGTTGTTGTTGTTTTCACTCATGTATAGCTAATTTGTATAGATTAGTTTTGTATGGGTGTGTGTGTGTATGTATGTTATTTGTCACATGGAAAATACGTCAATTCATATATGATAAACATGGTGCTATATGTTTTAAAAAGGTCATGGAGAATTATAGAGTGCTGATTGATTTTTTCATTTGTCTTGCTTCATTAGAGTTTGCCATATAGGTGATAAGTCTATCCCATCTTTCCTATTCACTGCATTCGATGTGGTTAAGATGTGCAAGGCTTCAGAAGTCAGTCTTTCTTTATGTGAATGAAATGCTCTTCCAAGAAATTCGACATTGTCGAAATCAATCTTATGTCCGCTGTCTATAGCATGCATTGCTATAGCGGATCTTTTTTCTATACTTTTTAGTTCTACTTCATTTCTAGGTGGACGTTTCGTGCATAGTCTATGTTCATTCACTCTGACCTTCATCTGCCTACTGCTCTCCCCTATATAGCATGCATCACATTCGGAACACTTTATCTTGTAGACGCGATTACTTTGTGACATTCTGGGAACTATATCTTTGACATGTACCAACGCCTTCTCTAGAGAATTAGAAGGTTTGACATAGACTTTAATATTATATGAGGCACATAATCTTTGAAGTTGTTCATCTGTGTCCTTTCGGTATGGGATGGCTATCGTGGATAGCCAGGATTTCTCAATTTTTGTTTTTCTCTTATGCTCCTTTCTATTGACAATATTATCAAGTAGCTTTTCAGGATAACCATTTCCAATCAAAACCTGTTTTATGTTGGATATCTCGTTCTCCATGTCGTCATTATCTGTTATAATGTTTCTAGCTCTGTTAACGAGATTTAAAGCTACTGAAACTTTCATTCCTATTGGATGATCTGATTGAAAATTCAAATACTTGTTGGAATATGTCGGCTTTCTGTATATGGTAAACTTTAGTTTCTCGTCAGTTTGTCTTTTTACAAGACAATCCAGAAAGTTTAGAGTTCCCTCAGCCGATTCTATTTCATTAGTAAATTCAATATATTCTGAAATTAAGTTGATTTCTGTTAGAAAGTTTTCTTTTTCAGCTTTCTTTATGATGATAAATGTGTCGTCTACAAATCTGTACCATATCCTAGGATGACAACTAAAACTTGTCAATGCTTTCTTTTCTAGGGCTTTCATATAAAGGTTAGCTACAATTGGAGATGCTGGTGAGCCCATTGCAACTCCATTTGTTTGACAGTATAGTTTGTCTTTAAAGGTAAAATATGTAGATTCCAAACAAAGTTTTAAACATTTTATAACTTCATTTATTGATAATAAAGATTTACTTAATACTTCTTGATTGTTTTCAAGTTCATATTTCATAATATCAAGTGAATCACAAATAGGAATACTAGTAAATAAAGAAACCACATCAAAACTTGCCATAATTTTGTCTTCTTCAATAATTATGTCCATTACTTTCCTTTTAAATTCCTCAATTTTTTTGATGTTCGAAGGAATATTGTATTGAAGTGGTTTCAGTATTCTTGATATGCATTTTGATAAAGTATATGTTACTGAATTGGTAAAATCAATTATTGGTCTTAAAGGAACATCTGCTTTATGTATTTTCAGCCTTCCATAAAATCTGGCGGCCGTGTTTGCCTTGGGAGCTATTGAAAACCAAACTGAATTCCCTAGTTTTGGTTTCAATTCTCTAAGTATATTGCATACTTGGGCTTTTACTTTGTTCATCGTACTAGACATTTTGTTTACTGGTACTAATGTGTAAGGCCCTGCTTCGATATGCTCCAAGGCTTTTTTGTCATAGTCGTCTGTATTAAGAATTACAGTGATATTGCCTTTGTCAGCTTTAGTTATAACAATAGATTTATCTGATGTTAATGTTTTTAATGCATGACGTTCGGCCTTCGACAAATTTGAAATGGCCTGCTTTTGATTCGATAGGATACATCCAACCTTCCGACGTAATTCATTAGCTTCATCATCAGTTAAAAGATTTAATATAGGTTCCATGATGGGAGCTAATTCTATCGCTGTCAGTGGTTTTCGAGTTATGTTGAAGTTTAGTCCTTTTTCAAGTAGTGCTGTTTGTTTTATTTTGTTTATTTAGTTATTCTATGTACTTTTCCCTTATTACTACGATTATTATTATTATTATTATTACTATTCTCACTCTGAATCTTTTCCAGTTGACATTTTAAACCCAAAATTATTAATTTTTATATTTTTATCTTTACAATATTGAATTCTATCTTATCAAATTTCACACCATGTTATGTGACATTTTTTATTCGTCTACTAATCTTATAATTATGTACCCCTTTCCAAAATCTATACGCCTTATGTATTATTCTATATATGACATTAATTATTTTGCCACTTGACATTAAACTATGATTATAATCACAAATATTTTAATTGCATTTCATACTACAGTTATTATTTCATGTATTTACATCTTTGACCTAATTCCCTCACCGGATATAACTTTCATTAAAAAAAGAACCATATATATACGATTGTACAGCTTGATAATAAATTCGTTGAAAAGAGTCTCTTCGCTGAATATTTTGTTCTTGATAATTAAATTATCTGTCATCCCTTCCTACGCCCTCGTTCACTTGTGTTTTCGTAGTAGTCTTATTTGCCGTCACACTAATGATCAAAATATATTCTAGTCGGCCAGATCGACCAATCAAATCAAGTGTAATTATCTTACAAGTCTGTAGTCGTCCTAATGCTTATTCTTTGCAAAACTTATACGTTTGCTGATTGGTAGTCCCTTTCATAAACAAACAAAAATTAACAAAATCTTTGAAAGACACGAATCATATTTTGGAATTTCCTCAAGATATCCACAAGCATATAATTAATTAATTTATCCCAACTGTAGTTGGGATAGAGTGCACGTAGATAAATAGATGGAATATAGAATAGATAGAATATATAGAAATATC